ACTTACTACTCTCTCTCTCTCTCTCTCTCTCTCTCTCTCTCTCTCTCTCTCTCTCTCGCACGCGAAGCCCCACTCTCCTATCTCTCTCCTCTCTAGTCACCAAACAGTGGCACACACCAACCTAAGTTACTGGGGTTGGCATGCCACCCAAAGATAATAGAGAGGGGAACACCCAGCCCACAGTAGAACCAAGGGAAGTGCCTTTCAAGGCATGCCCTAGAGAGGTCTAAAAGGGGTCTAGAAACCCTAACCTTATTTATGCTCTAAAACACCTACATATGAAAGGTATTGCCCAAGAGAGCTTCTCGACTCAGAGAATTCAACAGGATTAGTGTGCTCCATTGGTCAAGAAATCAAATATGGGGTATACTAAGTCCTACGGGGGTCAGCCTTGACAAATTCATGTAAGTCTTTCCAACTGTTTAGTTTTATTATCAGTCATTCTTTGCTTGTTTATTTGAATTTCCAGGATTATTATTTGTATTACCATTTATAGTCAAAGCTTGTTTTTCAATCCTCGATCAAGTCTATTTATTTGACAGTAAAAGGAAAGATCCTAGGTTGTATTTTGGGTTTTCTTTCTTGTTTACTGCAGTGTTTTGTGGCACTTGTAAGTGAAATTCAGATACAGTAATAAAAGAAAATAGAAATTTTGATTTTAGTTTTACTCCTTTGAATTCCACGTAGCCGCTAGTTTCAATTTCATGTCTTTTCATGGCTCTGTCTATTTTGATTTTCATACCTATTTTTCACTCTCATGTTATCAAACCATTCCTTTTGGTCAAAGAAGCCCTGTGCCCTCATTGACCTTGCCGTTGTCTTCTATTATTAGAATGAGCCATACATCTACGAGGTTTTGCAGCTGCTAGTAAATGTGGTCATTCTCTCTTTCTAAATTCATTTTCTCCCTAAAACTGGCTAATTTGTGGGGAGGAAAGATCTGTAAAGCCCCATACGGGGGGGTGCTTGGTCTCCGTAACATTCTTTGGAAACGTGGTTGTCCTAAGAGAGAGGACTAGTAATTAAATAATCTAGGTCTTTTCTTGTATTATTTTTGGGTTCTTCCCCCAATTCATTCTCTCTCAATCCCTCTCATTGGATCGAGGAGACCTCTATCTGTAGAAGATAGCATTTTCAGTTGGGATTTCTCCATGTTCACCCCCCATCTCTCTCTCTCTCTCTCTCTCTCTCTCTCTCTCTCTCTCATCATGTCCACAACTAAAACTCTCCAAAGCCAGCAACAAATCCCAACCCATCAACTCCTCTCTCCCTCAATTCATCATGTCCACAACTAGAACTCTCCAAAGCCAGCAACAAATCCCAACCCATCAACTCCTCTCTCCCTCAATTCATCATGTCCACAACTAGAACTTCTCTCCAAGATCCATTTGACCGCTCAAAGCCTACAAAATCACATGCAGCCGCAGAGTGAGATGCCATCAAAGCTCCTATATAACCTCAAGGAGATGGCGAACCATGAAATTTTACGGACTAGTAGCCATCGGTATTGTAGCCGTGAGAGAGAGAGAGAAAGATTAGAGAAAAAGAGAGAAGTTAGAAAGAGAAAATTGGCAAGGGTGATCTATTGATGGGTAAGAAAACTTCTCGTTTGAAAGAAACAGGGTGTGGAGGGGTTTGAATAGGGGAGGGAGAAAAAGGGCAAAAAGGTTAAAAAAAATGATCTTAAAAACATATTGACATGTTCTCCAAGTTAAAGGCGTTGAGAATTTTTATTGATTCAAACGGACAGTCCGAAACTCATGTACACCCAGGAAAAACTCATGTACACCCTGGAATTGTGTGGTGAAAATACATAGGACCATTTCCCAAATATTTTATACAAAAAACACAGGTATATCAGACGATTTCAGTCATATAACTCTGCAACCAGCCAAGTAGATTTGACTCTGAGTTATTTTGAGTTAAAATCGAATTTTTAAATAGTAATTCGATATGCACCTCACACATTACAGAAATTCAGTAGAAAAGGTAAGCAGACATCTAATTTACAGCAAATGTTCCAGGAGTAAAGTAACAGCTTTTGAATGAGCTATGTCAAACAACATGCACCGAGCAAGAAAACATAAAGCATCTCTTTACTGGTACTCTTCAAGAGAAATGAACAATAAAAAGTGCCACAGGTTACGTCAGAAAAGAATTTGAACACAACATACGAAAGATTGAATAGGACTTTGTGACTTAATGGAATGTCAAGGCAGTTAATAATGACAGAAAACACAATAAGAATAAATCAAGTTACATCATCATACGATTGCTACAGGTTACATATATTATGCATTACCGCGTTTATGAACTTCAAAGATGCTGTTGCATATCCAAAGCCATCCTTGAAGAGAGCATCCAATCCTGACAAAGATGCTAGAGCAGAAGGAACTATCCTGTTGAACAGTTCAATGAAAAGTAGTAAGCTAACCTATTTAAAAAAATTTCCCTGTCCAATTATATAACAAATTTCACTCTATTACTGTCTCATGCTTCCTCTTCGGCATCTTAATTCAAGAGAACCATGATTGAAGCATGAGATTAGAATATTACAAAAGAGAAAGAACAAAGAACACAGCCTGTATATGGCATATAATGCACAGCAAGGATATCTAGCATCTGTTCTCAAGTATTTACGATGGAGATTTAATGAAGTCCCAGAGGATGCACATTCCCCTAGGTAAAATTATCCACCATACACTGATATGAAAGGACAATGAGTGCCCAAGTTACCCCAGATCATACACAAGCTACATATGTCATTATCATCATCAAAGCCTTATCCCAACTATTTAGGGTTGGCTATACGAATCTTGTTCTGCCATTCTATTCTATCATGGGTTATAACCTTAGTAGGACCATAAGTTCCCATATTTTGTATCACTTCTATCCATGTCCTTTTGGGCCTTCCTGTTGCCCTTTTAGAGCTTTCCACTTGAACCAAGACAGTGCACCTAACCAGTGTTGTATTAGGTCTACTCTACACATTATCAGCGCACCCAAGTCTACTTTCCCTCATCTTACAGTCTATCGAAGCAACACATTAGTTCAATCGAATATATTCATTGCAAAATTCTATCGTTTCTTGTCTTGCCACTCATCCATCTCAACATCCTCATCTCAGCTGCAATCTTCCTATATATATTCTTTATTGACCACCCAACATTCCATCCCATAAAGCAAAGCTGGTCTCACAGCTGTTTAAAAGAACTTCCCCTTCAACTTCATTGGCATGCACCAATCACATAAAACTCTGGAAGCACATCTCCACTTCGCCCACCCAACTCTAATTTTATGTGCGACATCTTCCTCAATTCCTCCAGTTTCCTAGATTATCGACCCAAAATATCAAAAATACTCTCTTTTAGGTATTTCTTGGCCATCAGTCTTAACTCTTAACCACTTCTCCATTTCCTATTATTACTGAGCTTGCATTCCATAGATTTCGTCTTAGCCCGGCTAATTTTCAAACTTTTAGATTCTAGAGAATCCCTCCAAAATTCTAACTTTGCATTGACGTTGCTTCTAGTCTCATCGATCAAACTATATCATTCAAGAACAACATACACCATGGTACCTCATCTTGTAAGTGCCTACTTAACTCGCCCTAACTAAAACAAAGAGATATAGGCTCAACATTGCTGATGTAGACCTATTGTCCCTCCACTATTTTTTTCCGTACACTAGTTAGCGATCCGTTGCACAAATCATTCAAAAATGTTAATATAGCATCTGGAAACTCCTTTCTTATCCAACACCTACTAAATTACATATTTGTGTACCCTATCGCAAGCTTTCTCTAAATCAATAAAGACCATGTAGAGGTCATTTTCCCTCTCCCTGAACTTCTCAATCAGTTGCCTAAATTGTTGTACTCCCTTGCATAAAATCGAATTGATTTTTCAATACACAAGTTTAATGCCTTAATTGTTGCTCAATCACTCTCCCCCGCTAACTTCCTAATGTAGCTCATAAGTTTGACCCCTCCATAGTTTACACAATTTTGTATGCCTCTTTTGTTCTTAAAAATAGGAACCACAATACCTTTCTTCCATTCGTCTAGCATTTTCTTTGTTCTCAAAGCCTTGTTGAATAGCATGGTTGCCATCATATACCAATCTCCCCCATGCACATCCAAACCTCTGTCAGGATACCATCTGGTCCTCAAGCCTTTCATATCTTCATCCTCCTCAAAGTTCCTATCACTTCCGATATTCTAGTCTTGCGAAAGTATTTATGACCTCCACCCTCATTTATGTCAAAGCTAGCTCCTAAAGGTGTGTTCCCCTAGTATTCATCATTTAACAATTTTTGAAATTAATCTCTCCACCTTTCGTTGACCTCGTCATCCTTCACAAGATCCAATCCCCACTCTTAATGCATTTAATATGGTATAAATTCCAACACTTCCTCTCTCTCAGTTTTATTAGCTTGAAGATGTCTTTTTCACCTTCTCTTGTTCTCAGTTTATTGTATATATTATTATATGCCTTAAATTTAGCCTTACTTACTATTGTATTATCATTTTTATTAATAATTTTATTTCTTCTAAGTTTGATCATTTCTATTACATTGCCAAGTTTTATAACATGATCATTTTTAGCTAATGGCCTTCTGAACCTCATCACTCCACCACTGAGTTTCACACAAGCTACATATGTATACGTTCCTTGCATGAAAAGATTCTGTAAAGACAACAAAAGGAGGGTAGATTGTAATTATTGATTACCAAAAGAAGAGCAGCAACTACAATTATGGTACAAAATAGTGAAATGCCACTAAACCATCCATTTTTTAGCACAAGGATGAGCTTAAAACCAAAGTTTAATTTGAAGTAGAAGAGATGAATCATAAACTCTCATCACTGGAGTAGAAACACCTCAAACCGAATAGTACAAAATATGCATGCAAAAGCTCCAAGCTTTGGCACACAAATTATGTTACTTAGATATTGTACTCATGTCGGACAGATGTCGAACACATATCAACACACGTACCACTATAGATTCTTGCAAAATTTACTGTAAAATCTTATCTTATTTTTGAAATTTAAAAATAATTCCATATATTTCATACTTTACACTCACATCCCACTTTTTTTGAGAAAAATGTGTATTTCAATTTTCGCTCTTTTTCTACACATTGGATTAAGCTCAAATTTGGCAAGTTCATACTTCTCACCATCACTGACCTATAAAAAATAAAAATAAAAATTTAAAATAATAAACTACTAAAATACCCCTGAATATTGTAGGGGTATTTTTTTTGGCATTTATTATTTTAATTACTTGTTAATATTTTTATGGCGGATAGTTCCAGATCTGGTCCAAGACAGACTATTCTAGGGATTTATACAGTAGGAGTACGCCATGCTAATGTGCCTTGGAAGATCCACATCTCCGGGTCAGGTCTGTGATGGCGAGAAGTATGGACATACCAACTTTGAGCTTAATCCGATGAATGATAAAAGAGATAAAATTAAAATACACTTTATGCTCACAAAAAGTGGAACTTTGAGTGTAAAACATCAAATATATGAGACTATTTTTAAATTTCAAAAATAAAACAGGACTTTTTGCAAACCCTCCTAAATTTTTTAGATTTCTTCTTCTTTTTCTCTAACCATCGACTAAATCATTTTATAAATCATATTCTTTTTTGCTTTCAGGATTTTTTGCATACCTCCTAGATTCTTTAGATTTCTTCTTCTTTTTCACTAACCATCGACTAAATCATTTTATAAACTTCATATTCTTTTTTGTTTTGAGAAGACATAGACGAATTTGAAGAATATGCATGGATTCAGCCCATAAAGGCATAACTACTTTTTTCTTTTTCTTTTTTTTGACAAGTCATGATAAAATGATGTATTGGCAGATTATATTGGATTTCTTCTGTCCCTTTATAATATACCAATGTTGTTAAATCCTATTTTTCATCGTATGAGGAATGACACCCCCTACCTAACGCAGCTAGAGCTTTTTTATTTTATTTTTTTTTGAAAAGATATTTTTTGTTCTCTTGAAAGAGATACTTTTAGGGCTAATTTAAAGGGAACCATGCATAAATTTGAAGCGTAAGTAAGAGTTTCCACTTCTATTAGGGTTCTTTCAAATTTTAAATTTTTTGTGTTTTTTAAGGAGTCTAAAATTGGTTTATTTGAGGTCTTTTTATTATTATTCTGTATCTTAGGGTATTTATGTCTCTTTTCTTGTAGAGAATTAAGGGGTAAAGTTCAATTGAAAGATGAAGGGCTATGATTAAAAAATGATTAGGGTTTCCCATGGAGGAAGTGGGGGTATAGGGTTTCTTCTATAAATATGCAAGTGTTGGACAAGATAGATGGAGATGAATTGATTTGTGGGTCTTGTGAAAGGATAGAGTCCCTTGAGATCCAACAATAAGTTATATTCTATTACCATTTTCAACTTTTATTTATCTCTCCCTCTTCCCTATATCAATCGGCATTAGACCAGCACAAGATCCAACCATCATAATGCCTGCCAAAGCTTTTGCAATCGAGGGTATAGTGCCACAAATGAATCAGCAAATTAAAGAGAGCATAAATCAAGCCATAGAAGATTTTCCAATTCAGATCAGTGGAAGTTCAGGGGGAAGTGGCAACATCCGAGGAGAAATCAGTAAAACAAATCAACGGTTGCAACAACTAGAAAGTGATGACCGCCGAGAAAAGGGTGCTGGCAATCTAGTAGATCCTACACCAAATCTCAACTAAGGGATGAAGCAAGCTTCATGGCCAACTCCGAGAACTTATCTTGTTTATAATGAGTAAATTTTGAGGGAAGGAACACCTTTGGAGCATCCCCCAAGACTCTGGAATCAAAGTTCACCATCATCATCATCATCGAAGCCGTATCCCAACTATTTGGGGTCGGCTATATAAATCTTTTTTTTTAAGCGATTAATTGTTGCATTATGTAAAAGAAAAAGATTACAGTAGTCCATCTAGAGGCCCCACAGGCCAGGCCACTCGGCAAAAAATAGGCTTCCCCCAAAAAGAGTAGCCCTATACAAAAATTGAGTGATTATAGAGGATTTACAAAAAAAAAGAAACTATGGATCCAAAGAGTCCAAAAGCCCTTGAAAGATAGGACCGAAGCAGTGTTTCAAGTAGCGGACCGCCCGGAGCCTAAGTGATTCTGGGGGCCTGGGCGCATCGCCCAAGCCTAGGCGCCCAAAACAAGCGTCATACCCTAGGCGCCCAAGAAACCGCCTAGGCGGCCGCCCAACGCCCAAACTTGGGCGGCCACCCAAGGGCAGGGGCAAGGGCATTTTTTGTTTTTTATTTTATATTAAGGGCCCAAAAATGTGGGTTTTAGGTTCAAACCTAAAACTCATTACAGCCCATTTTAGAGAAAGAATGCCCCCAAAAAAC